CACACACACATACACACATATATATATACATATATATATATATGTATGTATATATGTATATGTATATACACAGGGAGTGTGTGTGTGTGTGCCCGTGTGTGTATGTGTGTGTGTGTGTGTGTGTGTGTGTGTGTGTGTGTGTGTGTGTGTGTGTGTGTGTGCGCGTGTGTGTGTGTTTGTATACATATATATATATATTATATATATATATATATATATATATATATATATATATATATATATATATATATGCGCTTATATATACACATATTTTTATACATATATGTATATATATATATATATATATATATATATATATATATATATATATATATATATATATGCATATGTACATACATGCATATATATAAATAAATATATAAATATATATATATATATATATATATATATATATATATTATATATATATATATATATATATATATATATATATATATATATATATATATATATTGTATGTGTGTGTATGCATGTATGTATGTATTTATGTGTGTGTATACATATATACACATATATATGATTTCAAATCATATTTCTATATATGCTCGCCTGTATATGCCTGTTCATATTTCCATACATACGACTGCCTGTATTTCAACTGATAGATATCCTTACTACATAGGAACACTCGAGAGCTTGATAAAGGAAACATGGAAGGCATTGTTCTACTTATCGGCGCTGTGACAGATGATTTATAGTCTAAGTGAAAATATTGAGGTTATAGGTTCCACACCGCCTACAATCTATAACATCACGTGACAGACAAATGTAGCTTTTTCAAACAAGCAAGGACACCATAGTTTAATATTTCCTGGTCGGTCATGTTTACAACAAAACTGATAACCTTTATTGCGGGAGATAAATGCGATTCCGGCAGGTAAGCCTCCCTGTGGCCCCGGCGTCCCTTGTGGCACCTTGTGACTGACGTAATTTTCAATGTCAAAGGAGTTCGTTTACGTCCTGCGCAATATCAAAGAACCGTTGCCATCAAATGTCCAAATCTAGGTAGTCGTCATAGCAGGTAGATGTGTATTACGCTAATTTCGCCCTTACGATGTGTTTGGAAACGTACTGTCCGTCGAAAAGTAACTACATCAATAGAATATCTGGCACTCATATGCGCCTCATGTGCGCGCGTGGAGCCGGTCGAGCTCGCGAGTACAGCGCTCTCAGTCACTCAGTCTGGGTTCGTTCTCTGTACCAGAAACACGTGCTCGCCCGCTCTCCCTTCCTCTCTCTGACAGTTAAACATGGTTGGCTGGGGATATTCCAAGACAAACGGTAAGTGTCTGGTTATCGAATGCCGTTGCCCATTCCCATTTATAAATTTGATTGTTAAGCATTTGCTTTTGATTTTAGATACGAATGCTTTCCTTTAGAAATGGGTCGCTTTGGCTTTTCCTAAGATTAGTATACTTTCATAAATTTAATCAGTTGAAAAAAAATAATAGTCACAAAACCAGCAGTAATATGAATACAAACAACTGCTGCGGCTCGAAACAACTGGTACGACACGTGCGCTCTCGCAACCCCGCTAGTGAGAGCAACGGAGGTTGATCACCTAGCATTGCTTGATGATCATATACGGCTCACGGAGAGGTCTTGACGGAGTTAAGACCTATATCTGTTCTCTTGCCGAATGATGTAGCAATTAACCCTACATGCAAACGTATTATCAAGGGAAGTTGCGATATTGTAGCCAGATCTCCTCTTGGCTTCACCTTCACCGTGACCGCGAGAAGCCCTTTGGGTCGTTCAAGCGCTTTCTATTATGTCAGACCCTTTCTTGATGTAGCAGTGCTGGTTCGGATCGATTCGCCGATATGTTCAATCTCTCGCCACAGTAAGCATTTTATTTTGCAACACGTCAAGGAAATTCATTGGATAGTTATTCACTGCATTTTCGTAATTTATGCACGTCGAAGCTTCAGGAATAATTTGCTTGAGTCTAGACGTTATGCACCTGATTTGAATCGAAAATTTCATTGGTTTTAGGTTTTTGTCCGGCAATTTGACGGCCTTTCAATGATTTCACTCCACTGCACGCATTATTCTAGACCTATCTTAGTAACACGGCAAAACTCCCAACGTTCCTTTGATTTTATGTGCTTCCGTGACCCCCCCCCCCCTGCTGTTACGACCCCGTTACCCTCCATCCTAGGAATCTTCAGAAGTAACCTGCTCGATGTAGCTCTACATATAACCCTAGCATACGTCTTTAGAGGGATCGGCTCTGCCATTCACTCGATGTCCTTTGTTTACTTTCTCTTAGTCAGCATATTTGTTTTTTATTTCGTTTATCTGTTTTTCTTCTTAGTATGTGCATTTTTGCCATTCTAGATTTCTTTTTATTCTTTCAATACTTTATTCTTACTATATGAAGAAAAAAAAAATATTGTACTTGGCACAAATGTTTTAACTGTAGTTTTGTAACTGCTCCTTCGACTACTGCCATCGTTAGATTTACCTCCCGAGGTCGCCGTTCACCCTCGGTTGTTTCACCTCGTTTCGTGTGGGGGTTAAGTTTCTTTCATTTCGTTTTCCTTATACGTCCTCTATACAGCTACTTCGTTATTCGCTTTTTATCCATTCTACCACCATCTTCGTTTCTCTTGGTTTGTCTGCCCCCCCCCCTCTCTCTCTTTCTCTTTCTCCTGAAGTGTGATGCTGGACGCTGCAGCTGTGTATTGATCCAGGAGATAAAGCAGGTGTAATACAATATGCGGTATTAATTTTAAAGTTATATTCCAGAATGTTATCTCGGCATTTTTCTCTGTACTTTTATTTTATTTTTAACTTTGCATTTCTCTTATTCTATATATAATACCCATAGCCGTAATCTTGTACCCATCATATCTCCTGATCCTTACTTGGTGGACGTATGAATGAAAGTTATATTAATAAGCAATGTCATTGGATGTTATGGTCGTATAAGCACCCTTAAAGATAACAACCGTTAGGTGATTCACCCGGTGATTTTTTTTCCCTTTGCTAAACTCACATGGTCATAAATGCGTTTATGCTAAATTCAACGGTTTCTTGATTTTCCCCTTTTTTTGTGATGGTTTTTCCTTCTTTCAGTTCTCTATCTACTACTAGCCTTGCTTATCTTTCCATGGGTTCGTTCATGCCCTCTCATATCGGATGACCCCCAGCCCAATGGAACTCAAACAGAGCGTGTAACCTGCCTGTACGACCTTTAATTGCTCGCTCGTTTACCCTGTGTTAAGCATCCGGGAAGTGGGGACATAACGAGCAGGTTATCCTACATTGAATAGACCGGTGCTATTCCTCATTTGATAAGCGGTGGTTTTTGTTCTTAGTTCTGGATTGTGAGTTGCAAAGAGCCTTTTGTTGCAATGGTCGCGATGCGTGTGTAAGTGTGGGAGGCAGACGTATATAGTTGTTCCTGGGGTTTGGCAACCGCTTGATCACAGCCGCGAAAAAGTGATATGTCATGATCGTGTTTTTGTAAGAATATAAAAAAACAGACACGGAGATAGACCCTTGGAGAGGAGAGGGGGCGGGATAGCTTATTCTTGGGAAAATCTAAAATATTTATACACTTTTTTTTTTTTTTTTTTTTTTTGCATATGCCGCTCTCCTCTTCCATCCTCTCCATTTCGCATTCTCACCCTTTCCCTCATCCTCTAACCCTTTCTCCCTGTGACGAGTATTGAACTATATCATAATGATATATATTGAGTTGCCCTTGATTTGTAGTTGAATATGTACTGAAGCGTTTCTCAAGCAGTTTACCGTGGGTGTAAACATGTGCTACTCGACGGGGGGGGGGGGGTATTCTACTTATTGAACCATACATTTTTTCGGGGCGAAGTTGTTTGACCGTTTGGTAATAGGTGATTGATAGGTAAGGTTAACGGGTTGATGATGATAGTTTTCTTGATCACTAAGTTGATGATAATTACTTAAAGTACAATGTCATTAAGCTAATCCTCAATCTCTTAATTACAACTTCACTTCGTAAAAAGAAAGTAAAGTTTAGCTCATTCAACCTGGATTAGCATTCCACTTTTCGTTAGAATATTTATCCCGTTCCTTGTCCTCCTTAATCATTCTCTAGACCGTTTTATTATAATAGAATGGTTCTTTTTCTTATTAGAGATTAGTACCACATTCTTTTTACCGTTGTGGAAGTCGTATCGCTGGCGGATGTAGGAAAGATTGCATTACATTTGATTGTACTTGTTCTTTGCTGGTCAGAATTGTGCAGTGATAAGATAAGTGTGGCACAGTGTTGCTGCTTTGTTAACATGCAGATAAGAGGTGCTGCATATTTTGTGGATTATATTGTCACTACTTATTGGCGATTAACTTGTGTAATGTATATGAATTACCCCAAGAGTTTGTAAGATTTCATAATTTGTTAAAAAAAGGACCTTAAGATTTAGTATTGTTTCATCTATTATCCTCGAATTCCCTTTTCTTATCAGCTTGTTCTACATTCTTGAGTTGAATTGACTAATATAGATAAGTCTTCATATATCAAAGGAGTTCTCAAGTATCCAGAGAAGCGAAAAAACAAGATACTATCATACGGATGACGTAAGCATCTTGACCCGTCCTGAGTCATGTTATTCGCTTTAATATTCGCCTCGAAAGAAGGTTATATCAATTGCGCAAAGAATCTACGTCGGCCTTCAAGATGCCGCTCCCACCGCCATTGTCTTGCAAGGATTTCTTGGATGTCCTTCGCTCTCTTCTTCTTGGGTTTGAACACGCCCTTCTTCACTCTCTGGGTATCCTTTATCCTCCGTCCGGTGCCCTCTTCGGCTCGGCCTTTGGGGAAAAAAGAAACTCGGACGTGATCGGTCGTTGCACATGAAGACGTTTGGCCTGTGGCAAGACTAGGTGATTTGGCGGCTTGTAGGTGCACACACACACGCAAAAGCGCACACCTAATAGTTAACCATCCTTAGCTGGTACTTCTTTCCTCCAATCCCCTTCCAACCTTCGCCCTTATACAAGCGCCTTTGCCTCCTCTTGCTGCAGTGTGTAGCAGTGTTTCTCCCAGGATGCGTCTACTGCTGTGAACTTCATCAAGGGGAAAACGCCGTAAAAAGAAAGAAAGAAAAAAAAAACGCACCGGAAGGTTCTCTCGGGGTACTCTCCCCTTCGGGAGTTTCAGCACTCGGGTCACGGCAGAACCAAGGCGGCCGCTGCGAGTGGAATTTTCTTTTGTCATTTTTTTTTCTCAAGATGATAGTGGTAGAGCTTTCGTCAGTTTTTGTCTTTGTATAATCTTTTAATTTTAGATTTTTGAAAGTTCTTCATATATTTTTAATACCAAAAACGCACATTTTGTTTATCCTCACACTATTATTATTTCCTTGGTACTCGTACATGAAAATAAGGGCAATGCTATTTTTTCTTCCCCCAAATACTTTCTCTTTATCCCCTGGCCCCCTCTTCTTTTTTTCTTTATTCCCTCGCCTCTCTTCTCTTTTCCTCTCGCCCTCCACTCCACTCATAGTAAGTCGTAGGTGAATAACTCGCAATACATCAGAATTCTTGTAGAGTGTACAGTACGCCCTCTCCGTGACAAACATCCAGACATGAGGGTTGAATGAAAGTGATGCTATGCATACTAAGATTCTTCATGTGTACACTTGCGCCATACTTTATTTCCATTTCCTTTTCTTTTGGTGAAATTGAACTGGAAAGCGGACCCTTGTGTGTAATAGGTAATACAGTATTTCCTATAGTTTCCCGTCAGAATACCTTGTCTTGTTTGCTAATATTTTTAAGATATATTTTTTTTCGCATATATTATAATGTTAGATTATATAACGCCTATATAATAAAGTTAGCATATATAACGCTTATTCACTTCCAGTATATTTAAGTAGACGGAAGAAAAGCGAAAATGTTCTTAGGCGTAAGTGGCGGACCAGAATGACGCGTTGCTATGACAACCCAGTAGCCATTCAGCTTTAGCCAGTGTGCCAATAGGCCACCTCGTTAATAAGAGAAATAAGACCAAATATGTACGGATAAACAAAAACGTAAGAATAAAGATGGGAAAAAACAAGACACGAAACAAGAGGAGACATAATTCAAAAAGAATAAAGAAATAAATGTCAAATTCTGAAAAGGAAAAAGCGGGACAGAAATTGATGATGGAAAGGAAATTAAAAAGATGAAAAGTAAAAAAAAAAAAATACAACCCAACCATACAGGAAGTCCATACAGTGCCAACATGAAATATACGCACAACCCTCTTGGGAATAGTAATGAGCCATTGGTAACTCATGGTCAAG